GTTTGATGGCGGGTGCAGGAATCAGGAGACAATAACCATAATAGATGGAAAGACTGATATAAACACCATTTATCAAAATAGTACAATACGACAGGGTGGTTAGGTAAAGTGTTCTGTCCTCGTTGCATCGATTTTGATTTTGGATTAGATTTTTGTGTTAAGATGTCTGCCCTGTTCTTTTCTTTTTATTCTCGATCAACAACTTTCTACCAGTAATGTTAAGGCCATAGGCCAAGAACAAATCATATAGTTATTCTACTCTAAAAATGGACCAACTTCTAACATCTGTAATCGTTAACAAAAATTATGTCTCGTACTTCCATTGAACATTTCCATATGTAACATACGTGTTTTATGCCGTGTGATTAATGTAATAATTTTTATTTCCCATTGATGAATTTTCCATTTCTGGATGACAACAATTCTGCATCCCCATCCAATGGTGTTTATATGTCGTAGTTGATTCGATATTAACGGGCCTGTCTCATTTATCACGATTTCCTTGTACGAATTGATCAAGTGACTGACAAACCATGGGGAAGATAGTTTAAGTGTTAGTTCCAATTTTGGATACCTTGTTCTCATTTAAGAACGTGACACTACCTACTAGGATTGACCAATATTTACATGGCGCGTCAAAGCCTTTAATGTGTTGCCGAGTCTAGTTCCGTCCCTCGGGGTGAACTTCACCCGAGGCGAATATTCCGAAGGATAAAAAAATATGTTACCGGGAAGGATGATACAGATGTTCGTTGGTGGTAACAGACCTTCCTTTCTCTTGGCACGACCTTTCGAACACGTGTTCGCTCTCAAACATCTGCGATGAAGAAAGGAATACATCGCTAACTCTCAGCAAAAACCAACTTCATAACATGACCCCTGAATGACATAAAGTCATTCCACCAGAAGAAATCAGGTATTGAAAACCGGCGAACATTGGTGATATTACATTTTTAAGAGTGAGAAATTTATTCGAAGACTAAATTGTTAAAAAAAAAGCTTTTCGTGTTTTCTTGAGCAGAAATGATTATGTATGACTGGGGGTAGATAGGGATATTATCAAAGTGATGCTTGTGTGGTATATTGTTATGGAGACCTTTCAGTTCAGACCGTATACGATTTCAGGGGATTATACCGTCAACAAGGAATATCCTCCGTGTACCTTGTGACATCGTGTATTCTCAACACCACAGGTAAATCAGGGCAACTCGAGAAACGCGGACACAACGCGGACTGACATTAAGTTGTTCAAATATCTCACTGATTCCTGTAACAAAATATCCCGCTATGATGCATACGGAGACTTTTCATACATGTTTTATGTGAAATAAACGTGCCGAAGTGATTTCTCGAAAATGTATATGAAGTTATTAATGAGTATTACAACTCGCTGCGACATTGCATTGTACGTTTCATCCGTCGCTGTCTACCGTCTGACAACCAGTCTATATGTTTACTTCGGTCTGTAAACTCTGTCTACCGTCTGACAACTAGTCTATATGTTTACTTCGGTCTGTAAACTCTGTCTACCGTCTGACAACTAGTCTATATGTTTACTTCGGTCTGTAAACTCTGTCTACCGTCTGACACCAGTCTATATGTTTACTTCGGTCTGTAAACTCTGTCTACCGTCTGACAACCAGTCTATATGTTTACTTCGGTCTGTAAACTCTGTCTACCGTCTGACAACCAGTCTATATGTTTACGTCGGTCTGTAAACTCTGTCTACCGTCTGACAACTAGTCTATATATTTACGTCGGTCTGTAAACTCTGTCTACCGTCTGACAACCAGTCTATATGTTTACTTCGGTCTGTAAACTCTGTCTACCGTCTGACAACCAGTCTATATGTTTACTTCGGTCTGTAAACTCTGTCTACCGTCTGACAACTAGTCTATATATTTACTTCGGTCTGTAAACTCTGTCTACCGTCAGACAACTAGTCTATATATTTACTTCGGTCTGTAAACTCTGTCTACCGTCTGACAACCAGTCTATATGTTTACGTCGGTCTGTAAACTCTGTCTACCGTCTGACAACTAGTCTATATATTTACTTCGGTCTGTAAACTCTGTCTACCGTCAGACAACTGGTCTATATGTTTATTCCGGTCTGTAAACTGTCTACCGTCTGACAACTAGTCTATATGTTTACGTCGGTCTGTAAACTCTGTCTACCGTCTGACAGCTAGTCTATATGTTTACTTCGGCCTGTAAACCTCTGTCTACCGTCTGACAACTAGTCTATATGTTTACTTCGGTCTTTAAACCTCTGTCTACCGTCTGACAACTAGTCTATATGTTTACTTCGGTCTTTAAACCTCTGTCTACCGTCTGACAACTAGTCTATATGTTTACTTCGGTCTGTAAACTCTGTCTACCGTCTGACAACTAGTCTATATGTTCACTTCGGCCTGTAAACTGTCTACCGTCTGACAACTAGTCTATATGTTTACTTCGGCCTGTAAACCTCTGTCTACCGTCTGACAACTAGTCTATATGTTTACTTCGGTCTTTAAACTCTGTCTACCCTATGACATTTATAGTCTATAATTTTCCCTCGGTCTGCACCAGTAAACGTTCTGTAGCCACACTTTGTAATTAATATCAAGTTAATGCATTACCGTTGGCAGTGAATTCCGATGGTTGTACAGAATGGTTATAGCATTCTTTACGCCGAGAGGAGATCTAGTGTCAATGTTTTATACAAACTGGCCTGCTTATTTGTTGCGGAATGCTGTCTCCCCACTAAACAGCATTCTCTTGTGTTTAAACTGGCACTAAATTGAACATCACGTGATTTTCCTAATCAGAAGTATGATTATGGCTTATGGTAGAACATTTGATGTCTACTATCATATCCATGGCTAATAGCATATAAAACGATAGCATATCTACATTTCATAAATCCGCGTCTGTTCTCTCCTTACGTATCATAGAGTGGGTCTTATGTTCGAATATAATGTTATGTATTCTGGGTTTTGTTTGTTAAATCAGGAGTAGATGTGCCTGGTGTTACGTTTCTAATGACGTGCCTAGTATGATGTGTATAATGGTATGTCTTATGTGTCTATTGTTATGTCTTATTACATTTTATATTATGTGTCTGATGTTATGTGTGTATTATTCTCTCTCTTGTGTCTGACATTATGCAGCTAATATTATGTCTAATGATATGTGTCAAATGTTAGGTGTCTGTTGTTACGTGTGTATTGGTGTGTCTAGTGTATCTAGTATTATGTCTAGTGTTTTGTTAGTATTATATTCAAAATAACGGGTCTGATGTTACATGGCTTCTATCGTATCCAGTGTTTTATTAAAGAAATCGAATCTATTGCCTACACAGTATATTGTCCATCAGGATTAATCTGGTGATAGCTACAATATAAAATTTAGACCGTCACTTTTGTTAGCTAGTTTTGACGTTTACCACATCAAATGTTACATAAGACTGTGTTTTCAATCAGATAGGTGTTTAGATAAACCTGGCTGTATTATTAATGTAAACGTAAGCTGTGTAAAACGTACTCCTCGAGCAGTTAAAAAATCCCTGATCATTTGTGCAGACACTAAAAACAGCAAGACCTAACCTGCCACATCATTACATGTATGATCTAGTGTCTGTGGAAAGAGGGGTGTAAAATCTGTATAGATCATTCTCAATATATTTGTATTCAAAATCTGTGATTTAATGAAATCAACGCAACAAGCAACTTTTCTCAAAACAAAATCTCAAAATATTATCAAGAAACGTCTTTTTATTGTGTAAAAATGTCGGGATGTTATAATTGTCATACCATCTGTTATGCCATTTCCAAAAAGCGAAATATATAAGATAACATCTGATTATTTCCATAAAAAATGAATTATACTTTTGTATGATATCACACTGCAGGCTGTACCGAGCCTGATTTACAAGACAGAGAGGAGTGTCCCATTACGGTAATGGTTCTGTCCTCGACCGTCGCTGAAAGCATTGTCTAGTATAGTCGGCCATTATGAGTAATTTATATCACTGATTACGCTTAATTGAGAAACAACTTAGTTTCATTGACGAACAAATGGATGGAGTGAGAGATAAAATTACCCCGGTGCCTGTTGTAATCCTCTCAGTCAGAACAAATCAATTCACAGAGATGCTTTGTTCCTGCAACGCTACCGGATATACTTTGTAATTGTCGCAACTTTGTATTCAGTTTCTGGGCGTGGCAAGTTTGAAAATCATAAAATATAAAGTATCAATTAATCTTTCAATTTAGAATCACCTTCAATGTTGTACCTCGAACAGTTTGTCTCCAGCATTATACCTACATAAACCTGGTAAAGATTGGATAAAATCTATGATGTAAAACCTCGAAGTCGTTTGATTGGTTGATAAGTTGAACTTTGACAAGAAGAATATTTAATGCATTAGCGGAAATTAAAAGGCACAATAACGAGTTTATGGTTGTTTTTGTAATAATTTGATTTTATGTGAATTTTTCTATAAATTTATTGCTTTAAAGATAACAAACTCACTTGTTACTGGTCAGATTGGTAATGGATAAGAATATTTCCACGTTTTTCTGAAACTGTCAGTTTTGCATTTGAATAAGTTAAATTTCACTACAGGCCATGTTATTGCGCCAAGACTGAAAAGCAAGTGAATTCACTTTCATTGTGGTAGAAACAAGTCAAACAAACTCGCTAAACCTCGTTTTATTTGAAAAAAAACTAATTCAAGTGAAAGAAACCCGAATACAACAGCCACTCGTTGTGTAAGCTATATTAATACTATACTGTTTGTAAGTGTGTGTATTTCGTTATTTTTGAACGGTTGTTAACACAGGGAAATTGTTTTTAAAAAATCGGGAGGCTGACTGCATTGGAGATTTCTACCTGTAAATTTTGAAAAAAAATACTTGTATCAAATGAAATTCTATTATGTCCTTTGGAAGCATCACCGACATGAAGCTGAAATAGAATAGACTAATTATTGTTTGCTTATCTTTCAGCCGGAAAATGTTAAAGGCAAGCTTATTGATTCCTCTGTTGTGCATTTCCATCCTCGCCTATGACTTCCGGTGTCCACAACTGGAGCAGACGACATCTTGTAAATGTCGTGGTACGTTCGAGTGGTGGAACAATCGCAATGTGTCAATCCTGAACTGTAGTGCAGTAAGTCTTCAGACAATTCCCAACTTATATGGCGACCAGAGTTCGTACGCGATAACCAAACTATATCTCAATGGCAATAACCTGACTCGCATAAAAGCAAGCGAGTTTCTGCCACTTCAACAGGTAAATGAAATCGACCTCAGTAGGAATGTCATCGAGACGCTTGAGAACGATTCATTATCACTCGTATCTCGGCATTTGACGCGCCTGGTACTTGAAGGGAATAGGCTAGCATTAGACGAAGGATTATGGTTTTTGAGGGGACTACATTCCCTTAATGAGCTCGTGCTTGATTCTAACACCATCCAAAATGAGTATCACACGTTACCTGGGATACTGTTCAGAGACCTGCAACTCACATCGCTCAGAAAACTAAGTATAAAAAATTGTGGTATTTCCAAAGTTACACCTACCGCTTTTTTGGGCCTAGAAGAGGTCGAACAGCTCGACCTCAGCTACAACTATTTAGAGAGTGTACCGGAAGCTATAACGGCGATGAAAAAACTAAAGAAGTTGGTGCTGTATGATAACAACATCGCCGTTCTCAGTGATCACAGTTTCCGGGGCCTAAGTCTTCTATCAGAGATCGATATCAGTCTCAATATGATGTCGGATATTGAAAGTGACGCGTTTGACGGGTTGGAAGACTCACTCAGAGAACTTAAATTGTATTCAAACGCTTTGTCGGCCATTCCATCGACTGCACTCCACAAATTAAGGAAGCTGCATTTCTTAGTTTTATCGAAAAATAACATCCAATTTATTCAAGACAATGCTTTCAGCGGATTACCGAACTTGAAAATGCTGGAGCTGGACTATAATCCATTGATTTACTACAATGAAATGTTTTCGGGTTTAGAGGATACTCTTGAAACTTTGACCTTAAAAGCAACAAAATTGACGTCATTTCCTGTAAATGCTCTAATGCCACTAAGGAGGCTAACAGATTTAGATCTGTCACGGAACCAGATATATAAACCGATGGGTATAGGAAGACTGAGACTGAAAAACTTAGCATTGGATCGAAACAATATTGTGTCTTTGTCGCCTTCAGCCTTTTCTGGTCTTTCCAGGTCAATCAGTGTCGATCTAGATAATAATAATATCACAAGTATTTCGTTTTTATTGGAGGTGGCGCCTTGCTCGTTTTCCTACCTTGATTTGGTAGGAAATCCCGTCAAATGTGACTGTGACACTGAACGCATTATTAACAGTGGTATGATTCTGGGGATTGGGGGCACGTGCACCCTCCCTAACGGTATGACGTATGAACTGAATAGTGGGTCTACTGCCGGGGTCATTCAACACCTCACTCAAAAGTGTAACACGACAGAAAAGACTCTTAACTGCGTGAACATGCAGTTCCTATCCACTTCGTCAGCAGCCATAATGCAATCGATATTTGTTTACACGTTAGTGGCAGTGTTGCTATGTGTTTATGTAAACTGACCATATATCATGGATTGTATTGTGTACTTTGTTCGACTTCCACTTAACGTCCGGTTCATCACACATAGATAAGTGGTGATTATTTAATGTGTTTTCATTTTTCATCCACATAGAGAACTGTTGGATATACGTTTGTAAGTTTATATGGTTCTTCACAAAGCAGACTTAATATAGACGGAAGAACAGATTCAGTGAGGGTTGTACAAATCGAGATATAGTCACATTGTCTGTAAGAATGCGAAATGTAATGTCACGGTCGTCCATTAAAATATATTGTAGAACACGTGTGTTGTTAGATAAAGGTATTATATATAAACTCATACTGTATTGTATATTTATAAAGTGATGTCAGGAAAAATACAGAATGGGAAGCGGATCAAAAGCGAAAACAGACTGATTGACTTAAGGAAAATAATCCGATTTAACAACAGGTCCACTTCATGTCTTCTGGGTATATTATTTGGCATGAAAATACCGAGGAAACACGTGTTGGACTGTCATATTAATTAAAGATGAATGAGTATTTACGTCTATATTTCACATGAACCATAGAGAACTTTAGTATTCGTGCATACGTCTAATACACAGAAATGCAGAGAATATATTAACACCTGAGTAGTTGTATCAACCACCTGTCTCACAGGTAACAATACAGGTAACCAGTGGTACGACAACCTGTCTCACAGGTAACAATACAGGTAACCAGTATTACAACAACCTGTCTCACAGGTAACAATACTGGTTACCAGTGTTACAAGCACCTGTCTCACAGGTAACAATACATGTAAACAATGCTACAACCACATTTCTCACAGGTAACAATACAGGTAACCAGCGGTACAACAACCTGTCTCACAGGTAACAATACAGGTAACCAGAGTCACAACCCACATTTCTCACAGGTAACAATACAGGTAACCAGCGGTACAACAACCTGTGTCACAGGTAACAATACAAGTAACCAGAGTTACAACAACCTGTCTCACAAGTAACAATACAGGTAACCTCAGTTACAACAACCTGTCCCACAGGTAACAATACAGGTAACTACAGTTACAACAACCTGTCTCACAGGTAACAATACAGGTAACCAGTATTACAACAACCTGTCTCATAGGTAACAATACTGGTTACCAGTGTTACAAGCACCTGTCTCACAGGTAACAATACATGTAAACAATGCTACAACCACATTTCTCACAGGTAACAATACAGGTAACCAGCGGTACAACAACCTGTCTCACAGGTAACAATACAGGTAACCAGAGTTACAACAACCTGTCTCACATGTAACAATACAGGTAACCAGTATTACAACAACCTGTCTCACAGGTAACAATACAGGTAACCAGAGTTACAACAACCTGTCTCACAGGTAACAATACAGTAACCACAGTTACAACAACCTGTCTCACAGGTAACAATACAGGTAACCAGTAGTACAACCTGTCTCACAGGTAACAATACAGGTAACCAGAGTTACAACCCACATTTCTCACAGGTAACAATACAGGTAACCAGTGGTACGACAACCTGTCTCACAGGTAACAATACAGGTAACCAGAGTTACAGCCCACATTTCTCACAGGTAACAATACAGGTAACCAGCGGTACAACAACCTGTGTCACAGGTAACAATACAGGTAACCAGTATTACAACAACCTGTCTCACAGGTAACAATACAGGTAACCAGTATTACAACAACCTGTCTCACAGGTAACAATACAGGTAACCAGAGTTACAACAACCTGTCTCACAGGTAATAATACAGGTAACCAGTGGTACGACAACCTGTATCACAGGTGGCAATATAGGTAACTGTCTCACAGGATCACAGGTTAATACACCCGGAAGTACAATAACTTGTGTCACATGTAACCCGAAGAACCTGTTTCACAGGTAAATTAAACTATATACAGAGTACATTTTGAGACTGTTCTCACTTTAAAAGAGATGAAAACCAAACCTCTTACTTTCTATCCACAAGATGAAAAATTATTCTTGAAATAGATTGTTTTTAGATCTCGGATCTTCTTAAGATTTTCTAATACTTTGAGATCTCGACGATTCGGAGAAAATTATTCCACATGACGTTGGACTCTGATACTATAAGTCAGACATCAGTACATCAAGTGCCGGTTTTGTCTCTCTCTCTCTCTCTCTTTTTATTTAAAGAAATGTTTGCGTTTTTGTTTTGTGTGTTTTTTAACCGTCATTCAATTATTCTTCAGACCTTTGAACACAAAAGATAAATCCGTTATTCCCTGTAGTTTGAACATTCGGAATTATTTATCAACAAACTGGAATAACTCGCCGTCATCGTTTTCTTTACCAAACGAAACAGTCTATTTAAAACAGACTCATAGATTTATCATACATCGTTTTACACAATAAAAGTTGATAAAAACAAACGAGATGCTCAAACAGCAATCATCTCGACATCAATTTTTCTCTTTCATTTATAGTTAACCAAACGTTAAACGAATCTGTAAACCATATCAAATCAATTGATTCTAATTAGACTACAGAAAACTACGGCCCTGAACACTTTATCTTAAAGGTGAAACATAGGGGGTTTGGTCGTGGTGGTCCTGTTTAAACAGTTCGTGAATAAATACCCCTGGTTTTGTACCGATGTGAATTCAACTGTAGATAGCTATAACAACGAGTCTGATAGTGGGGTGAATAATGACCATTCCATGTGATAATCTCTAACACGAGGTATTGATCAGCGTTCGTGACTTACGCGGGATACAGCAGGCGCTACCCGGTTAACTTACGAGAGTGTCAGCCATTTCGGAGAGCCCGCAGCCGAACATTCACACCTCCGCCGATCAACGCGCGGTCACTTTAGGCGAATGTGTCGGCGCGTTTATGTTTGGGAAGGTCAATTGATAGTGGCTAAATTGAGACTAAATGGGCGTGAAATGATGTTACAACCTACTTACAGTAATATCCGCAGGAATCACCGCTTATCAGAGGCTGGGAAAACTTGATACCCATTCCAGAGTGAAAAATTATTATCAAGAAACAACGAAAACATGGCCGGCCTAGGATTTAAAGTTGGAGAACCTGCCGAAAAGTCACCGGCCGTCCATTACGCCAACTGGAAAGAAGATATGTTACTGTTGAGACAAATGCATGTTCTGAACCGATCGGAGAGAAATGTGGTGCACAGGATTAAAATTGACCAAAAAGTTTTGTACAAGAGATTTCAGGGGAAGTTACACCGTTCGCAACTTACAAAGGCGCGACTGACGGGAGACAAGGATTTAGAACGTAAGTTGAGAGCGAGCAAATTCCATGGTCTTAACGTTGATATTGTGAACACTGAGAAAGATTTTGAATTTTTGGATCAGCTGAAAACGAGATCAACAAAAAGTACCAGAAGATCTAGTCGACAAAATAGCATTTCTCCAAAACATAATGCTAAAAATTCCACGGAAAATGAAATGGACACTATAATTCAGAAAGTCTTTCAAGTTCAAAGTGTTCCAAACACGCCAAGAGCAAGAAGTAAATCGTTCTCAGAGGGAGTGACAATGGAATCGCCAGTTGTGACCTCCGAACAAAACTACCAGAAACCACCAACCTTTGCCTTGCGACCCGCGACGTCTGGCGGTGAACGATATGATAACACTGAAGTAGTTTTGCCTGATATTTTCCTAAAACCGACGAAAGAAAAACAGAAAAAACCAAGGACAAAAAATAACAAATCAAGCAACCAACTCCAAGTGAATTTTGAGAACGACAGAGCGAAAACGTGCTCTCCTAATCTCCTTGGAAATGGTGGTTTTAGTCCAATATCTAAATCGCCATCACTGAGCAGACGACAGTCTGTAGCAACGAGTCAGGACAAAAGCTCGAGACGAACAAGTATGTTTTCGAAAGAAGAGAAGGTAGACATCACACAGTTACTATTAGACAGAATGAAAACAGTGGACTATTCCTCAAAGGTGAAAGATTTCTGTGAATCCCTTGACGATCAGTGTGTGGATGGCGGTGAACAGGCCGACTATTACAATCTCAGGTTAAAGGTGGCCATGACGGAATCCAAGGGTTACAGACCCATGTCGGTTCCGGGTACACCGGAGGGTGATTACCGGAGACATGTCGGTGACCTGGGCGTCCTTAGTCTGACGCTGAAACCACTCAACTTAGATTTCTCTAGACGGGATCACTCTTCTTACTCACAGTCAGCAGCTCCAGATCTACCCGTAGTTTCGTATTCTTCATCCGAAGATGACGATTCGGAGATAGACGATGAATATTAACACGTTTACATCTAAAACAGGGAACTGTTTCGTACTAAGATACTCCCCGAACTTAGTGACAGTCTCAGCACGCTTGCTACAGGAACAGAGGACAGTGCACAGCGATTTTGCAAGTTTGTAAAATGTACGCTCACCTGTTTGATATGGTCTGTTAAGTCTATGTTGATATTACTGTAGAAGTAGATCCCGATTACAAAGGGTATATGGAAAAAGTCTTCTGTATTTCGGCCAATAAAGACAGATTCCGTGAAATTATTGGATGTTTCACTGTTACTGTCCTGTACCTCGGAAGGTAGGCATATTTTATTTCACAATAAAATGGCATCACCATATTTAGACATCAGAGTGATGGGCATGCCTTGTCTGGGATACTTCAGTATCTTGTCTAAGCGATATTGAGAAATTGTAAATCAGGTAAGATATCACTAATGGTTTTTTACCAGGCATGAACAACGGTCAACAGAACCACTGTAAGAAATAATTCTTTAGAACGTTATTCTCACAACCGTCAATCTTTCGGCCATTCTTAAAATCGAATGACCGCTTCTGCACTGAAATGATATTATTTAGTCACATTTCAACATAACATTCAATGGTCAAGTGTTTGCAAACTATGCTGAATATAATATTACATCGAAAGATCGCTTCAAATCATATACATGTATATCCGTTTAAGATCAATAAAAGAATCACGGGGCACAGAATGTTGTTGTTGATAGTTAACTAACATAAACAACACAGAAACCATGTTCCAATGTTTCCAAACATTGACTAACCATCACTTGTGAGGGATTTGTAGGGTAATTTATGACCTACACTGAATGTTTTAGATACACAGAGCTACACTAGATACACAGACCTACACTAGATACACAGACCTACACTAGATACACAGAGCTACACTAGATACACAGAGCTACACTAGATACACAGACCTACACTAGATACACAGAGCTACACTAGATACACAGACCTACACTGAAGGTTTTAGATACACAGACCTACACTAGATACACAGACCTACACTAGATACACAGACCTACACTGAAGGTTTTAGATACACAGACCTACACTAGATACACAGACCTATACTGAATGTTTTAGATACACAGACCTACACTAGATACACAGACCTATACTGAATGTTTTAGATACACAGACCTACACTAGATACACAGACCTACACTAGATACACAGACCTTCACTAGATACACAGACCTTCACTAGATACACAGACCTACACTAGATACACAGACCTACACTAGATACACAGACCTACACTGAATGTTTGAGATACACAGACCTACACTAGATACACAGCCCTACACTAGATACACAGACCTACACTAGATACACAGACCTACACTAGATACACAGACCTTCACTAGATACACAGACCTACACTAGATACACAGACCTACACTGAATGTTTGAGATACACAGACCTACACTAGATACACAGACCTTCACTAGATACACAGACCTACACTAGATACACAGACCTACACTGAATGTTTGAGATACACAGACCTACACTAGATACACAGACCTACACTAGATACACAGACCTACACTGAATGTTTTAGATACACAGACCTACACTGAATGTTCTAGATACACAGACCTACACTAGATACACAGACCTAAACTAGATACACAGACCTACACTGAATGTTCTAGATACACAGACCTACAATGAATGTACTAAGATAGATTTTAGAAACAAGTAGCAATTTTTCCATTTTTCACTTTGGTTTTGTGTAAAGTCAATCAAAATTTCGAACAATTTTAATCGGAGCTAATCATGATTTCAATATTAATCAATATCTGATCCGTTACAGTCTCATTATGATAACTTCATTTATGATCTTGAACTCTGTGCATTATCTTACCTAACACATCATAGTTATCTAACATAAAGTATATAAATAACTTCTCCGTCACACAAAACCCACAAGACAGTAGTACGACTACCAGGCCTGAAGGTTTTTTTTAGATGCATTCGTCTTTAAGATTGTCTCCCCATTTGAAACTTGCAATAAAATATGAAGAGATTTCTAGAGACAAAGGATATTTATAAAACACTATAAGTTGCATTTTTAGGAACTCAAAGTTAAAAATATTCATTCTGTAAGTACTCTTTTGAAGTTTTGCATCAGTGATCAGTTGTCTAATCTATAGGAGACAAAACGGTATATGGCCATACGGGTGTACAAGGCACACCTCATCACTGGACAATGATTTGCAAAATAGCAATCCAGTAACATCATTATTACACCTTTAAATATATCGAGGCATTTTCCGGTGTATGTGATATAGCAACCCGTGTTGCCTCGTGCTAGAGATTAGGCAGTGGTGCCATCGACAATAAGTTATTAACTGATAAAATCTCAGAAGAAAAAAAACCTATCACTGGAAATAAGCAGCGTGTCTAATATATACATGAAGTTGCGGAAATTGTGTAATTACGAAATTCAATATTTTTTCGTCGAAGAATTGCCAAATCTGTGGTTGAGTGGGAGATTGCGTTTGAGATAATTCCGGGTGTTGAAGTGTTTCTCCAAGATCTGTCGGCAAGATGAAGAGAAAAACGGGCGCATAGAAATGAGAAAACGGTAACATCCTTAGCAATTCAATTACTAGGCGTCAAGATTTCGTCATGGAATAATAAATGTGAAGATGTTATTCCTATCACCTTGAAATGCACCTTGTCTTCCCTGCAACTCTACACCAACAACATGCACGTCTCAAGTAGAGAGACGTATGGTAGTGTAATTAAATCTCCACTGCATACATACACCGCGCTGGACTAATTTTACCCCATAGCCAAACTGCATTCACGAATTGTAGGACGATGTTAACGTTCATTTAAGGTAAATTCGCTTATGAATATGAAGGCCTACAAAATGTGAACAAATACCTTATCATTAGAATAAAAAAACAACAGATATATATTCATTTAGGAATAAGCGGTATTTTTTTAGTGGAGAGTTTTGCCGATACTAGTTAGTTGCCAGGCTCTTTGGGCGAGTACAACAGCGCAAAGTGGAACATATTAAATATTCTGTTAGAGCACGTGCACACTTATAAATATAATGTATACCGGAAAGCGCAATGGGAATTGTTGAGGTAAAGCTACAACAAGGAAGACAACTCCTTCACAATGACACGCCACACCTTTACCTTACTGCGCAAGCTCAGATTTGTTTTCTGCCAAATCTTGGTGATCATGTGAAGGTGTAGCATGCGAGTAAAAAAATATATGATACAGACATCAGTGAATAGTGAATTAAGACAGAAATCAAGCACGAGATAATATCGTACATAATACATACCATCACCGACAAGGGTCCCACGATAAATAGCGGTTAAAATATAAACATACTGAGGTCACGCGATCAACTGTTACGACTCCCTAAGATACACATCTATGTTGAACCTACTGACATTGCTACTCACACTACAGCAACGAAATTAGGAAAATCAATTTCAAACTTCCGTTGGGGTTATTTAGCGAAATTCAATATGTATTTGATAAAATATTTCGATAAACTGTTATCATCCTACACTCTACGAAGTACTTTATACACTGAGAATTTTAACATGAGTGACGAAATATGGAATTTATTGAACCAGTTCATAGTTAATCAATCCAAGGGCAGCTGTATTTTGGCGAGGATGGTAAGACAGACAAAAGTAGTGAGCCTCTGACGCCACTTTTTTCTTAAATGAACGAGGAGACCGACCTCAGGTCAGGACTTGAAATATGTATGTTTTGTGTCTTCTTATTTGCCTTAATTTTTACTTGTTATAATGTGTGGAGAGGGCTTAAATAATGTTTTAATAACTTGTGCCCGATCCGTTTGCTTGTTTGTTGGCAATAAAATATGCTTAAACTAAACTAAACTAACTTTTGTCTTTCTGTTCCGAGCCTAAAAGTAGCTTATACTTTTAAACACTGACCGTGTATTCTATTTATCCAGCAACATTGATTGGAAATCAGGCTATCATAGCTTAACCCACTGCAGGTTTAATTGTTCAATCTGTGTTTACCTGATGTTAGCGTTACGCTGAATTTTGCCCGCTGACGGACGCAAAAGTAATTGCTCCGCGCGGAAATACAGTTCCAAACTTCATCGGATATAACAACGTTTTATAAATTTTCATAGATAAACATTTAACATTTCAACTGTTTATCTTTCTATATAATGGAATATTTTTTTCTTATCTTTGGCCACACCAAATGATATACAAGAGGTCACACCAACGTGTATATAAGAGGTCACACCAAAGTGTAATATAAGAGGTCACACCAAAGGGTAATATAAGAGATCACACCAAAGTGATATATAAGAGGTCACACCAAAGTGTAATATAAGAGATCACACCAAAAGTGTAATATAAGATATCACACCAAAGTGTAATATAAGAGGTAAAAAAAAAGTGTAATATAAGAGGTCACACCAAAGTGTAATATAAGAGGTCACACCAAAGTGTAATATAAGAGGTCACACCAAAGTGTAATATAAGAGATCACACCAAAGTGTAATATATGAGGTCACACCAAAGTGTAATATAAGAAGTCACGCAAAAGTGTAATATAAGAAGTCACGCAAAAGTGTAATATAAGAAGTGAAACAAAAGTGTAATATAAGAGACCACACCAAAGTGTAATATAAGAGATCACACCAAAGTGTAATATAAGAGGTCACACCAAAGTGTAATATAAGAGGTCACACCAAAGTGTAATATAAGAGATCACACCAAAGTGTAATATAAGAGATCACACCAAAGTGTAATATAAGAGATCACACCAAAGTGTAATATAAGAGATCACAACAAAGTGTAATATAAGATATCACACCAAAGTGTAATATAAGAGATCACATCAAAGTGTAATATAAGAGACCACACCAAAGTGTAATATAAGAGATCACACCAAAGTGTAATATAAGAGATCACACCAAAGTGTAATATAAGAGGTCACACCAAAGTGTAAT